AATGGTTGGTTAGTTTTGCGTGTATTAATGCAATATAAAAAAATCGGATATATGGAATACATAGAATATATATAAAAAAACGTAAAAAACATATTTTAGTAGGTCTGGTTTTCCCTGCATTGTCTGCAGTTTGTCTTTTTTTCTTTTTTCTTTGAAGCGAGAAAATGAGGAAAGAACTGTACAAGCAGTTTAGGTAAAAGAACAGCCTATTGAATAGTGTGTGTCTTACCATTTTTCGCAATGATTGTAGTGGAATATCTAACTCCTTCGCTGTACTTTACTTTTATACCTCGCGGTTTAGTACTATACATATTATTGGAAGAGCATACATAATATATTCCATCAAAAAATTTTATTAGCGCGTACATGATATTTAAGTACTGAAAAACCAGTTTTTTCGCAAATATATTATAAAAGTATAACTTTACTAAGTACGTTAACACTCTCTGTAATGTAACGGTCGCTTGTATTCACTGCGCATGTGGTACATTTATCACCGCGTATGTAGAGTTAACATTTTTTGTCGAATTTGTACTGCGTATGAGACTTAGCAGTTTCAAACATCTTCAAATTTTGAAATTCCGTTCTACATTAGGCCTGTTTTACAATACAGTCATAAGTTTTTGGCTGCGTTCCGAGTTACGCATATGCGCGCATTTATCTATAGTACACGTGACGTATAGTATAGATAAATGCGCGCATATGCGTAACTNGGGACACAGCCATAATTTTGTTTGCGTCGCACGACCCAACATGCTCCTACCTGTCTCGACGCGCTCTAACAGCACATTCGGTAGCCTGGACTGGTAGTGCGCATTGAGTGCGATTTGTTTTAATGAAAAACTTTATTTAAAATATGTTAAAAATTAATGATAAACGTAGAATCATCTCTGTCTTTATATAATCTATTAAACTTAATAAATGAATATATATCAATCGTAAANAGCCGTTTCCACGATGNTGTGCTGAAAATATGCCTATATATGCAAGTGTACATATATGAACGTACTCACTTTTTTCACGTGAGTTTTTTGAATTGAAATATCAATTCTAAAATTCACATAGAATGCTAATTTTGCATCATTTATATGAAGGACTCCGAATATCCCCTGAAATAATTTTACAATAATGCAAAAAAATTTGAAAGTTTCATTAAAGTTTTATTGAAAAAAAACGCGTTAGTGCGAAGAGAACCATGTTGAGGAATGCAACGCGAACAAACCTTGTAAATCGTAAGTGACCAATCATAATCGATTATTCTTTTGTGATTGGTGAATTTCTTACGATTTATAAGGTTTGTTCGCGTTGCATGCCTCAACATGCTTCTATTCGCTCTACCGCGTTTTTTTTCAATGAAACTTTAATGAAATTTTAAAATTTTTTTGCAATATTGTAAAATTATTTTAGGGGGTATTCGGAGTCCTTCATATAAATGATGCAAAATTAGCATTTTATGTGAATTTTAGAATGGATATTTCAATTCAAAAAATTTATGTGAAAAAAGTGAGTACGTTCATATATGTACACTTGCATATATAGGCATATTTTCAGCACAACAACCTGCAAACAACTCTTTACGATTGATATATATTCATTTATTAAGTTTAATAGATTATATAAAGACAGAGATGATTCTACGTTTATCAGTAATTTTTAACATATTTTAAATAAAGTTTTTCTCTAAAAAAAATTGCACTCAGTGCGCACTACTAGTCCAGGCTACCAAAATTGCTGTTAGAGCGCGTCGAGACAGGTAGGAGCATGTTGGGTCGTGCGACGCAAACAAAATTATGGCTGTGTCCCG